CTAGCTGCAGCCAGTTTAGCTGTCAAAAGAAAATAACTTATGGTACTCCACCTTGTCATCATCCCTTACCTGGCTCTCCCTTCGGTCCCCATGACTGTTCAAAAATGAAAGTGTGCACGTTGGAGTAGACCTGACCAGAAAGCGAAGCCTGTTTTGGCTTTGTACAACAAGGAAAACCCTCTCCCTGTTTGAGCTGAAGCTCTGTGAAGACTCTTCAGCCTCCTCCCACCCCTGACCTAGGAACTCCACGGTTACTGCCACAACTAGAAATGACCATTGCAGAGACTCAGTGCACATGTCATAAGGAAATGTTTGGCTTTTGAGAACTTGTTCTGAGCCTATCACCCGACTCAACGGAATCCCCACCATCAACTGTAAGACATTAGCATGCACAAGGGTAAGAGTGTTGTGGTAATGAAGTTGACTGGAACCTACATCAGGGTGAAGTTTTCTTCTTTGAAAATTGAGTTGAGGAACAGGCGATTAAGTCGAACAATTAGGAGTCTCTTTTCTCTTCATTTGAGTTTGGGATTTCAGTGTTACTTTAGGTCAAAACCAGAGGCATATCACCTCAGTTATTTAAAAAAAGAAAACTTTAAAATAAAGAAAAAGCCACCAAACTTGGAAAGAGAGGATATGCTATTGACTTGGGTCTGACAGCCTGTATCAGAGTTGCCTAGAATTTTATAAAACCAAACCACATAAATGTCATCCTTGTGTTTATGTTAAATATAAGAATTTATAATAAACAGTATGAATTTTCAACACATTTCTTCTTTTCAATCTTGTGTTGCCCTAAAAGAAAGCTAATGGTTACCAAATTGTTCTTTAGTGTGAGCTGAACCTTAAAAAAAAGAAAACACAAAGGAAGAAATGTTGCAGGATGTGATTGTAACACAAGATCAAGTTATGAACTCTCCAAGTTAATACTAAGTTAATATTAAGCCAGTGGGAGGTTTCCAGGGAACACTTCCCTACACTTGATCATATACAACATTACATTACGTGGAAATGAAAGACAGTTTTCCTGACTTCTAATAAAGTCATGGAGGGTGTGTGTGTGTGACAGATAATATCTTAATTTATATGGAGCTGCTGCCTCATCTGTATGTCTCAGTTAGTGGTGATTGTCACAGCAATAAAGCACACAGTCCTTAGAAGGACATTTATTTGTATACCTTGTAAATAAGAGGATGAGTATTCTGTTGTTGTTGTTAGGTGCCGTCAAGTAGGTTCCAGCTCATAGTGACCCTATACACAACAGAACGAAACACTGCCTTATTCTGTACCGTCCTCACGATCGTTGTTATGCTTAAGCCCATTGCTCCTGCTGCCGTGCCAATCCATTTCATTGAGTAGTCTTCCTCTTTTTTATCTGACTGTCCACTTTGTCAAGTATAATGTCCTTCTCCAGGGACTGGTTCCTCCTGATAATATGTCTGAAGTATGAGAGATGAAGTCTCACTCTCCTGGCTTCTAAGGAGCATCCTGGCTATACTTCTTCACAGATAAATTTGTTCTTTTGGCAGTCCATGGTACTTTTAATATTCTGCTCCAACACCATAACTCAGATGTATCAATTCTTCTACATTCTTCCTTATTCACTGTCCAAATATAACGACATGCGTATGAGGTTATTAACAATACCATGGCTTGGGTCAGGCGCACTTTAGTCTTCAAACTAACATCTTTGCTCTTGAACACTTTAAAGAGGTATTGTGCAGCAATACATCATTTGATTTGTTGACTATTGTTTGCAAGTGTGTTGATAGTGGATCCAAGCAAAATGACGTCTTTGACAACTTCAATCTTTTCTCCACTTATCATAATGTTACTTAATGATCCAGTTTTGAGAATTTTTGTTTTCTTTACATTGAGCTTAAATCCATACTAAAGGCAGCAGTCTTTGATTTTCATCGGTATCTTAAGTCCTCTTCATTTCCAGCAAGCAAGGGTGTATCGTTTGCATATGACAGGTTGTTAATGAGTCTTCCTCCAATCCTTATATATAATCCAACTTCTCAGATTATTTGCACAGAATACAGATGGACTTAGTGTAGTAAAAGAATACAACCCTGACACACGCCTTTCCTGATTTTAAGCCATTCAATATCCCTTTGCTGTTTGAATGACTGCCTCTTGGTCTATGTACAGGTTCCTCATGAGTATAATGAAGTATTCTGGAATACTCACTCTTTGCAGTGTTATCTGTATCTTGTCATGATCCACACAGTCAAAAGTCTTTGTATAGTCAATAAAGCACAAGCAAATATCTTTCTGGTAGACCATTCATTGTTGTTGTTGTTAAGTGCCATTGAGTCAGCACACACGTGTGTAAATCAAACAGTATTGTTACCAAGGTGCCAGTTCTTATGTGTACAGGATGATTCCAGGTAAAAGCTTATCTCTGATAGGTGGCTGGCTCCAGACATGTTTCTGATGTCACTGGCATACCATTTTATGGAGACAGAAACTGAGAAGTTACACAGATTGCCTAAAGACACTTATGATTGGTTTGCCAATCAAGCCCACTCTGGAGAATTCCAAAATCCATGCTCTCCATCTCTCTGTTGAACTGGCTCTCACACATTTAGCCTACCACATTTTGTGAAAGCTTCCCTATCAATATTCTGTATCACTGCACAGTGGCACTCTCACTCTGTAGAGTCCCCTGTCCCTAAGATATCTGTTCATTTGTAGTTGTAGAGGACCGGGAGGCCCTGAATGAAAATTTCATGTCCAGGTTTGATAAGTTAAATGCATCTAACCACTTTCACATTGGTTTACAAAGGTCTTTTCTTGGAAGGAGCTCAAATTTTCATATGCACAGGTTCATTCTACAAGCTTTGGAAAAGAGTGTTTTTGTTCCAACTTGCAGATGGAAAAGCTGAGGGCCAAAGTGCCATGAAAGAGAGGCCAGCCAGTCCTCTCAGTAGCCCCTACATCAGTTGTGGAGTCAAGAATAGAGCACAGTGGGCCCAGGACTGTATCTACCAGATTAGCCCTAACAGCCAAACTGCTAACTAGCTACACTCTTAAGTCAACAGTGCAGAGCTAGGAACACTTGGCCTCATTTCCTTGTTGGCAGGATGGGATCTGCCTGCAATACGAAATCCTCTCATTCAAGATGACCCAATTCTGCTTCCGTTTGCAAGGCTCTCATATTGAGATGTTTCCCTTCTCCTTTCAATAGGGAAGGAAAGAGTTCAGGGATAGAGGCTAGTAGGATGGTAGCAGAGTATATAAGGGGAGAAGGCAAGGACTGCCAAATATCAACCTGCTGACCCTGCATCATTTTGCTAGTTAACAAGCCTTGAATGTAGGATATTAATGCAAATATTTTGCATATTATTAACTCTAATGATGCAGTAGCCACAGTTGAAAGCTGAGGTAGCACTTTTTATTATAAACACCTTGGATCTCTCTCTGAAAATCACCATGAAGACAGAAATTCCCTTGAAGAGAATAGAAATTTGAGCAGATTTCTGCTTTTTAAACTTCACATTATTAACAATAACAATAAAAACACAGGTATCCCAGGGCCTCAGCATTCAATCTTGTAAAATCTGGCCCCATCCTCCTTTAGAGCAGTAACCTCTCTAGCCCGCATAACAAAAGCACACTTCCACAGCAGTGAGTTAGGAAACCATTGTAAAACAAAATCTGTTTTAGGAAACAAAAATTCTTATGCAACCCTCAAATAGTTATGTAAGTGAGGAATCACTGGTTGCTAACTCCTTCAGTCTCACGCCAGTGACAGCATGCAGAGCTCCGGGACTTCAGATCCAGCTCTCCCAGTGGCTAACTGCGTGATTCTGAGCAAATCATTTGACCTTTCTGACCCAAGTCCTTTTCTAGGATATAATAGCATCGATCATAAAACTGCTTTGTCTACTTTACAGGGTTGTCAGAGATGATTAAAGGAGACTGTAAATATGAAAGCTCTCTGGAGGCACTATACAAATGTCATTGATTTTTATGAGATAAATAGTGAGAAATGAATGGCAGCATGGGTACAAAGATATCCTGGGAATCCTTCCACCATGGGAGTAGCCGGATATTCCTGAAGAAGTGAATGGCCTTGCTAGCCTGAAGAACTTTACACTTGCAAGTTTTAGGGGTCACTGGTAGTTTATTCTAAGCTCTTGGAGGCACAGAATTCTTGTGTTACCAAACTTTATTTAGGAAGAATTTACAAACTCGGCCTGGCAGAGTTGCCTGGGAGTAGAGTACTGTGGTTCTACACCAGAGAGAGCAGTGATTCATGTCTTGTTGTCTTATCCTTCCCCCTAGGGATTCGACAGATGGAACAACAACAAAATCAGAAAACCAAGGCAAACCTGTCAGTTTGATGCCTTTGAGCTTCAGCAGAATTCACAATTAAAATATGATAAGATGTCTCTTTAGAGGGAAAGGTGCAGAGAAGCAGATCAGTTGAGCATCTATCTTCTGTCTGAGCCTGAGTAATATTATGGGATCTCCCACCATAGAGAAGGAACTGTTTACTAATACACAGTTGGCAGTTAAGAAAAAAATGGTTGAAATAATATGATTGTTAGTATAAATAATTGAACAACTTTAATATGGGGCATTCTGTTTCCTTTCATTATAGTTTTTTTAATCAACTCTTGAGTTTGGCAAATCCCAGGATGAGTAATTGTGCATCTCGGAAGGGTTAGGTAGTATGCAGACCAAACCCTAAGTCAGGCAGAGCAACGGATGTTTTGGCAATAACTTGTTTTTGTTAAGTGCTGTCAAGTCTTTTTAGAGTTTCTGAGGAGTGGCTGGTGGGTTTGAGTGGCTGACCTTGCAGTTACCAGTCCAGTGCTTATCCTACAGTGCCACACCAAGACTCCAATAACTTCTGAGGAAGTAAATTATTTTTTTGTGGTATAGGGTCGCTATGGGTTGGAACTGACTCGACGGCACTTAACAGCACCAACAAGGAGAAAACAAAGAAGCCAAACATTAAGAGCTAGTTATGTTTCTCTTTTGTTTAGGCAAATATTTCTAACTACAGCCTGGTGATGGAGTCAGACTTGGGAACTTTCTTTCCTTATGGACTGCAGTTCACCGGCAGCGACAAGGCCAGGGCCATCATGAAGGAGGTCATGTGCCTGCTGCAGCCCATCAATGTCACGCAGGTTCTTCAGTACGGAGAAGGCACAGACATCAGCTACTGGATCCAAGCTGGAGTGCCAGGTAAGACCAAAAAATGAAGTGTATAAGGGTGGTGTACCTTGTTTGCTGCCATCAACTTAAAATGTCAGTTCTAACATGATACAGTGGATATTAATAGACCAATTAGCACATACAGACTCTCAGTTTTTGTCTGTAAGGTATAACTTGATGACTTCCAAAAAAATTCTTACTTACCTATCTGCCTTCCCTTTTTAAATTCAAACCTCCTTGCTCTCAGCGATTCACATTTAATGAATCCTGGTGTGACATTGTGGGTTAGTGCACTGGACAGCAAGGTCTGTTTGAAACACAAGGTCTGTGGTTCAAGCTCACCAGCTGATCCTCAGAAACCCCATACAGGGTCGCTATGAATCAGAACCAACTCAACAGCACTTAACAACAACAACAATACAACAACAACAATAAGGTGGGGCCTAGAAATAAAAAACAGCAAGTAATCTCGGTGATTGTGGCACAAGTGATTTTAGGACCAAAATTTGAGGAATATAGTTGTAGATTATTATTACTACTAATATCCTTCTAAGGAGCTCTGGTAGCATAGTGGTTAAAAATCGGGCTGTGAACCTCAAGGTCAGCAGTTTGAAAACTACCAGCTGCTCCACGGGAGAAAGAGGAGGCTTTCTGCTCCCGTAAAGATTTATAGCCTCAGAAACCCTGTACAGGGTCTCTATGGGTCAGAACCGACTCAACGGCACTTAACAACAACAACAACAATATCCTTCTAGTTCTAGTCTTTTCCTAGAAAATCTTCTCTGACTCAAAGTAATTCCCTACCCAAATGCCATGGTGTCTGTCCAAAATTTTACTACTAGAAATTTATTCTTTGAGAGTGAAGTATTCCTGCTGATCATTTACCCCCATTTAATTCATAGGCTTCTGGAAGAGGTGGGGCATACACATAGTGGCATTGGTCAGTGGCTTTTCAGATCGATATCTTTAAGGGAAGTCCTAAGGATCTGGGGACAGAAATGAAATTATGTAATGGTAGTAGACCTGGGATGGTGACAAGGATAGAAAGTGAAGCAGTCTTAAAGAAAACAAGCTCACACGACTTCATAGATTTTCCTGAGACTGGCCATGGCAAAGAGTTATTGATATTGTCGATGCCCCAAAGTTATACCCTCAACACCATTATATACGTAATTTAAAAAAAATCCATCTATAAATTATTCTGTTTTGGTATTATATAGACAAGAAGTCTAGCTTCTGAATAATTTTAACATTTCCAGAACTATTATTTTTATAATGCAAAGTAGATTTTATCAATAACATGTATGGATTTAAGATTTTTTAAATTCTTGAGAAATTATGGATTTTTAAGCTTTATGTTTTCAATAACATTTCATCACTAAAAATAAAAGGAATTTTCCTTTATTGAAGGACCCAGAGTCTCCATTTCATCCCTGTATATTTTAACCATATAGGGGGTTTAAAAGAAGTTCCTGGAAAAAATTCCAGTATCTTTTCATTTCAATTTTCCCATGAAATTTTTGAAATGATCAAATTTTGAAATTATCTTAAAGCAACATTTCCATTTACACTTCAGTTCTGCATATCATCTGGAGATATCCAAGTCTAGCTCTCTATATGTCATTGATAAACATTCTTGAAGTCTGATGGGGGTGGAGCATTTGCCCTTTAAGTTTACAGAATGATTGAGCTTTTATATTTTTCCAGAGCCTTAAATTTTTCAACAAGAATCTTCACAGTTTTGAGAAAACTTAGCTAAGCTGTTTGGTGGTAGCCATGAAGACTCAGCTGGTAGAATGAAGGTGAATTACAGTGGAGAATAATTAAGCCAAGCTAGTTCCCCTGAGTCCCTTCTGACTCATGGTGACTCCATGTGTCAGAGTAGAACTGCACTCCATGGGGTTTTCAATGGCTGCTTTGAAAGTAGTTTTGAGCTTTTCAGAAGTAGATCACCAAACCTTCCTTTCAAGGTACCTCTGAGTGGACTCAAACCACTGGCTTTTCAGTTAGCTGCCAATCACAGTAATCACTTGCACCACCCAGAGATTCCTGAGTGGAAACTGGAGGTGCCAAAGGGAGGTAAGTAGGAGCTAAAGCCAAAGACAGAGTTAGAACAAAAAAACCTCATGCTTCCCAGGAATTTCTTGCTTTGGATCATTGAGCATTGGTTGCAGCCAGTGTTCCATAAGAATGGTTCTGTTAGCAATTAACAAGTTAGTTTGATTATCGTCACCAGACATAAAAAGACCTTTACCCCACTTTGCCAGGGAAAGGTAAGCTTTGATTTCTACCTAGGTGAGTGAGGCAGGGAATCTAATTCTCACGATGATTGCTTACAAATTAATAAGAGTCACCATTTATCGAACTGCTGCTGTTTAAAATAGCAGGCAGTGGGGTAGGCCTTTTGCCTGGCTCTCATTTAATTTGTATGGAGTCTGTACATTTATTTCTATTTTGCAGATGAATAAAGGGATGTGGAAGGGTTAAATGACTTGCCCACATGGCTCTCCTGCTGTTAAGTGCTCAAGGCCATATCCCCACAATATGCAACAACACAGGGTCATCAGCCATCAGCTGATGCTGAGATGGTGCTCAGAATCTATGGCGGTGTCTAAATTGTTTATGTTACTCAGCTCTTGCTTACATAAAGCATTTCAATTCATTCCTGCTCCAGAATAATTTACCCCTGGGAGAAAGGAGTTTGTTATTGTAAATAACTACTTATTCCTTCTCACATTCCTTGTTCCACTCCCCTCTCTCCCTCTGTAGATCTGGAGGGTTTATATAAAGTCAGCGGTTCATTTAGATGACGACAAAGGTTGCCTGGAATTCTTTTTATTTCCTTCTGAGTATAGAGAGATGGAATCAAATTATTGTAGTCTTTCCTTTATTGCTTTGGAGCTACCTTTTGATACTTCAAATTTGGGTTGTTCCTGGAAGAAGTTACAGAATGGCTTATGTTATAACTCTTATTAGTTATTAAAAATTTCATGACTTTAAAAAAATATGAAGAACCATAGGTAACCTGAAAAAGAAAATAAAGATATATTAGGTATGCATTCTGTATTCTTAAGACCTGGCAAGCCATACTGAATTTAAACCTAAGGATTCAAAATATTAATTATAGTTTAATTAAATACTCACCTAACTTTATGAAAATTAATTAGAAATAAGATTTCCATAATCTATCCATTCTTTCTCATTTTCCTTCTCTTTCCTTCCTTCCATTTACTCAGTAAATATCAGTAAGTGTCTTTGATGTACTTTCCATATAAACTCTCTGTTCTAGATACCTTTATACTACACACCTTTCCATTGCCAATTTCTACTGGACTTCTATGCTTCCACTCCAAATGCTAGATGCTCTTTAAGGCCTATTCTATATGGTGCTGTAGGATAAGCACTGGACCACAAGGTTGGTTTGAACCATAAGGTCGGCAGTTCAAACTCACCACCTGCTCATCGGACACCTTATACAGGGTTGCTATGAGTTGGAACTGACTTGATGGCACTTAACAACATTAGACAGTCTTCAAGAATCCTTCATTAGTAGGCTGCAGTACTATATTGCTTTCATAAACTTCTAAAACTCTTCTCATGTGTATCCCACAATCTAGCACTTGAATGTTCTTGGATTGTTTTGGGTTTATCGGTATCTACCTCCTAGACCCTGTGATCTGTTCTTTGATTTTGAGGTCAATGATATGTACTTTGTGTTTCTTCTATGAGTCTTAGTTTAACTTTAGGAATCATTTAAATTCTTATAAAACTGACTTTAGAAAATAAACAAAAATATAGAAAAAAAATTTCTTGACAAGTTGCCATATCCCTCAGCTTAAGAATATAGAGGAAAATAAAGGATGCTGAAAAAATAACCATCAAAATATGGAAAATATTGGGAAAATGATAGATTAGGAAAGCTAGAGTAATTAGGAGTATTTCGCTTCAAGAAAAGAATGCTGAGAGAAGATGTTGAATAATATCTTCTAGTATTTTAATGATTCTCATAAAATGGTGAACAGTTGGTCCCTGACTTTCAAAGGCAATGCAAGAATAAAATTTAAATTGTATACAGGAATTTATGTTAGCTCTGTATTCACTCCAAATAAACTGAAGAGGCCTTATAAATCTTAAATTTTTGCCCTTTTCTCTGATTATGGGATGCAGGTTAGAATGGGAAGAACCTGTTCCATGCTGAATATATCAGCAGTGAGGTATAACCAATGAGTCTCTTTCTTAAACTCTTCCCTAAGATATATTACAGTTAAATGCCATCAAATTGGTTCCGATTCATAACAACCTGATATCAGGTTTCCAAGGAGTGGCTGGTGAGCTTGAATCACTGACTTTGAGGTTCAAACCAACTTTGCAGTTCAGCACACCAATCTGCAGCATCATACTGCAGACTCAGCACTCAGATTCCATAAGATACACGCTAATGAAAAAACCTTAGATACCCTCTTTTAGGAATTGAATTGTAACCCACCCCCCCAAATTACATTGAAGTTCTAATAAATATGACCCTGTTGGAAGTAAAGGTTTTCTTTTATGTTAGTCATACTAGAGTATGATGGGCCTTAAACCAAATCCCTTCTGAGTGGTGTCTTATAGAAAGTGAATACAGAAAGGGAGAGACACACATGAGGAGGGGAAACGACAGACTCCATGTGAAGATCCCTCAACAAGTTAAGGAATGCCTGTGACTGCCAATAATTAGGACCATTACATCACATCACAAATGGAGGATGATTACAAAATACTGCTAATCATGGCTTAACCAAGTTGACACACACTTTGAGGAACCCAATTCAGTCCGTAATAAGGGTCATGGGGAAGAAACCTTTGTGGCAGTGTTGGAGAACTTGGCTGATAACCAAAAGGTGGGTAGTTTGAATCCACCAATTTTCTCTATGGGAGAAAGATGTGACAGGATGCTTTTGTTAAGTCCTAGTCTAGGAAATCCTATGGGGCAGTTCTACTGTGTGCTTTAGGGTTGCTAGGCATTGCAATCAGCTCAGTCAATGAAATGG